TGGTTGCCTTATTAGATAAGAATTGAATTTAGGGGTAGCTCAGTGGTACAGCACTTGCCTAAAACATACAAGGCCTGGGTCTGATGCTCAGAACCTCAAAATAAGTAAATAAAGTAAAAAGCTGGGCGTGGTGGTGTACACCTGTAATCCCAGCACCGGGGAGGCCAAGGAAGGTGGGTTGTTATGAGTGTGAGGCCACCCTGGACTCCACAGCGAGTTCAAGGCCAGCCTGAGCTACACAGGGAGACCCCGTCTCAAAGAGAAAAAAAAAAAAAAAAACCCTAAATACAGCTTTTTAGTAGGGCTGGAGCTATGACAAAAGAACAGAAGTCAGGCATAGAATACATGCTTGTAATCTCGGCACTCTGGAAGGCTGCAGCAGGAGGAGCTAAATTAGATTCTAGCCAGGGCAAGTTAGTGAGTTAGCAAGAGCCTGTCTCAAAATAAAAATTGATGGGGCTGGTGAGATGGCTCAGTGATCTAAAGCACCTACTTAGAACAAGCTTAGCAAAGCACAGGGGCCGCGGTTCAATCCCCCAGCACCACATGCCAGCCAGTCCCACCCCCTGGTGGGCTGAGCTGGCCACACACACACACACACACACACACACACACAAATAAAATTTAAAAGAAAATAAAATAAAAATTGAAAGAGTCTAGCTGTAGATCCACTGTGTACAGTATGAGACACATAGGCTTGAGACAGAGCCTAGTGCAAGGGCCCTGGGTTCAATCTCAAGCTCTTTTTTTTTTTTTTTAAGTAACAATAAGATGGGAATTATTAATATATTATTTAATTCATGTTATCCTGACACAAATTACCAATTAGGAGGAAAATTTACTCAAACATTCAAAAGACAAGCAAAATAACTAACATAAATAGTACAAAAAAGTGGAGACGAGAAATGTAAATGTTCAAATGCAAGGACAAAATTAGTCTGGTTCTAAAAACGAAACAGATATAATCCAAGACAAGGTAGACAAAGACAAACATAGTCAAACTACAAAGAATAAGAATGGGACTGGGGAGATAGCTCAGCGGTCTAAGAATCTGCCTGGCAAGCTCAAGGACCTGTGTTCGATCCCCGTACCACACACCATGCCAGCCTGAAACCAAGCATGGTGGCACGCACCTGCAATTTCAGTGCAGGGGAGGCTGAGACAGGAGGATCACTATGAGTCTGAGCTACAAAGCAAGACCCCGTACCAAATAAATAGATAAAAGATTAAAAGAAAAAGAAATGGCCAGGGAGATGGCTCAGTGGAAGAATAAGTACTTCCCTGGCAAGTGCAGGGGGGTGAGTTCAATCCCCAGACCCGCTAAAATAAATACAATACAATACTATACTATACAATACAGAAAAAGAAATACAGCTCTTCACATTGGCCAAGCAATGACCGTGACTCATCCACATGGCTGACACTGACAAAGGCTCTACAATGTGAGGTACAGGATCTCAGGATAAATCCTGAGGGGATTTCACTGACCTTATCAGATCCAAAAGCTACAACTCTTATTGCAAAGGTCCTGCTTTACCTTGGTCTTAACCATCCAGCAGAAAAGTATAAAAACGAAATATAAGAAGTAAAGTCATGATGTTATGTCGAGCTGTAGGGGACTCAGGTCAACAATTTCTGACATTGCCAGTGAAGCAGAAGACCCAATACTATTATGGGCTACTGGACTCTTTTAGAATATTTTACTGAGTTTACACACCTATAATATTCAAATGACGGAACTTTAAAAAAGGGGATAAAGTTGAATGTCCATTTTGTATCTGTGTATTCAAAGTGGTTAGGATAGATACATAGTTACATTCTCATAATGAATACAGCGATTTGTTCTAATGGTGTTTGTAAATAGGATATCATGTCCGCATCTTGTACGGCAATTAACCACTAGGAAGAATGTATGCAATGTGTGAATTATTGAAATTGTCCTAGCAATTTGATTTGAAAAAAAAAAGAAATACAGCTCTTGCCAAGCATGGTGGCATAGACCTGTAATACTAACACTCAAGAGGCTAAGGTAGGAGGATCATTAGCAGTTGAAGACCAGTCTGGTTAACAAAGTGAACTCAAGGCCAGCCTGAGCTGCATAGCAAGACCCTGTCTCAAAAAAGGCCAAGAAAAGAAAGAAGAAAGAAAGAAAAAGAGAAAGAAAGACAAAGTAAAGGTTCTCCAGAAAGCATTGATTTCTTACCACTTATAAATGATTTAGTGTTACATGTTAAGAACACAAAGACAAACTGACTGGGCTGGGCTGGGATTCCACTGGCCTGGCCAACTAGGCCTTCCTGCAAACAGAGGACAGGAGACACAGGACCAAGCTCACATGCCCCTGCTGCACTCACTACTCTGTGTGGCCACTGGACACCTATAGAGAGAAACAACACTCTGCAACACAGATTGGAAAACTCTTGCAGAAAAATAATTCCCACTAAGGATGAGACCCCCTCCAAAGACACAGTACACATTCAGCAGCAATCAATCCAAAGGAGAGGTGTACATATAATACACAGGAGCATGAACTAGGAGGAAAAAACAACCTAGTTATAGCGCAAAGGAAGCCTGTTTAGAGCAGCGAAAGAGATTCAGGTGCAGAGAACAGATAAAAATAGCAAGACAGAGTCCTGGTGTGCTCCTATAGTCTCAGATACTTGGGATATACATATATCTCTCATACTGTACACAGTAAATAGTCAATTCTTATTTTCTAATTTTGCTTTAGTAGAATTGAGAGGTAAAAGGTATGAGTTGTAATAGGCAAGAATTTCTCAGAATTGATAAAAGACAATAGTCTTCAAAGCCAAGAAGAACAGAAAGTTCTCAGTAGGTGCTATGGTCGGAATCTGTGTCCCTCCAACTTCATACTGGATCTTGAACTCCAGTGCCACAGAGTTCGGGCCATCAGAAGGTGAGGGGTTCATGAAGGCAGGGCCACAATGAATGGAACTAGCAACGCCTCAGAGGGCACTGGCTGGGCCCTTGGCTTCCAGGCCGTGTCACCTCTGGCACCCTCTTAGAAGCAGAGACCTCACCCAGACAGCGAGCCTGCCACTGCCTTGGTGTTGGACCTTCCAGTCTCTTGAACTAGGAGAGATGTAAACTCCTACTGTTTAGACATCACCCAGCCTCAGATATTTTATTCCAGCAGCACAAACGGACTAAGATAGTAGGATAAGATTAAAAGCGGTCCTGCACTTACCAAAATAAAACTGCAGAATACCAAAGACAAAGAATAGTTCTTATAAAAAGCCATAGCAAAAGATGATTATTTTAAAGGGGACAATAATTAAAGTGACAACATCATTTTAATCTGCAACAACAGATGCTAGAAAACAACGGAAATAAAATCTTCAAAGGACTGAAAGACAATAACTTCCAAACTAGAACTTTATACTCCCAAAGCATCATTCAAGAGTAACGGTAAGGATGACCACTAAGAAAATAACAATGTATAAGGTATTAATTATTGAAACTGTCTATTAATTAGTTCTGAAACCGTCTCATTGCTATTTGTTTCTCAATAAAATAAAACTTTAAAAAAAAAAAGAGTAACGGTGAAATAAAATGTTAGACATAAACGGAGCTTACTACCCACAGAGTCTCACTCAGAGTTACTAAGAGGAAAGCTGAACAGAGATGGATGGGAGAATCACTAGAGAGCTAAAAATTGGCTAATGTGTTGGTAATAAAGCTATTACTCTCAATGAAATGGTAAGCAATAAAGTGAAACATGAGCAGGAAGAAACTGAAATTAAAATATACAAGTCTTATATAGTTGTGAAAAATGGAAAATGTGAACATCAGATTTTTTAAAAAGTAAACATGAATATTTAAAATAAAGCATAGTCCCTGCTGGATAGAAACTTCTGCTATGCAGTAACAGGATAAGTGATATAAAGAAGGCATGGCCAGAGAGAGCTATTGTCACAAAAAAAGGGACCAAAAACATTGGGGAAGGCTTCAGAAATGTGCTGTTTGGCCTCTGTCCTGAGGGCTGAGTGGCTGCTGAAGAGAGACATCATCTTAGACTGCAAAGGCTGTATACACATTGAAGTCATGGCATCTTATCAAAGACGGTTTATATTATTCTGAGTTGAACTTACAATACATGTAAGTCTTGACACAATAAGAGGATGAGAAGGTACAGCGAGGGAAGGCAAACAGTAAAGGACCATATAGTTCATGTAAGAACTCTATACACACTTCATTTAGTAGGTGGTAGGGAGGTACCACTGATATGCAAATGTTTTATTATGGTAAAACATGTGTGACAGCTTTTTTTTTTTTTTTTTTTTTTTGCGGAACCAGGGATTGAGCTCAGGCCCTTGCGCTTGCCAGGGAAGCACTTATTCTACTGAGCCATCTCCCCAGCCCGACAGTTGTCTTTTTAACCATCTGTCAACATTCAAGTCAGGGCCCTGCTGGGAAGGCTGAAGCTGAAACTGATGATATGTGGGAGGGCAGGACAAGGCCTCAATGCCTAAAGCAGTCGAGCTACCTCAGTCTTGGGAAAAACATCCCATCAGGACAAATTGCTAGGCAACCTGTGTCTCCTGATGCTAACTTCTACAAATGAAAGCCCTACTATTGTTGGGGGAGGGGGCAGTCAGGCAAATGGACCACCACCTGACCGGCTCTTGTCTTCTTATCTGTGCCAGTTTCTCCCCAAAGTACAGGGAGACCCCAATGAGTCCCCACAGTGCCCTAATTGTCACAATACATAGAAATTTTTCATCATCCCAACTCAAACGTTGTATCCATTAAAAAAATTAGACCATATTCCTCCCTACTCCCAGTTTCTTATAGCCACTAACATCAGTCAGCTTTCCCATTGCTGAGACACAACAGCCAACCCCCACAATGTCTGGGGCACTTGGGATGCCACCTTTAGTCCCCAAAAAAGACTGGAGCATGCCTTTTTCTCTGCTGAGAATGAGCACAGTGTGCTAGTTCCGGACAGTCTGGAGGGGAGGAAGATGCTGATTGACAAAATGGGAGATAAAAGGACCAGTCCAGAGAAACCTGAAGAAGCAAAATCAAAAGTAAGGTACCCTCACCTGGGACATAAGTCCGGAGGGTCCAATCTTTTAAGGAAACAATGGAAGAAGAGGCAAAGTGACCAGGAAAATAGCTCGGCAGTCTAAGCACCTGCCTGGCAAGTGCAAGGACCCAGGTTCAATCCCCAGTGCTGCATGATGTGCCAGCCACTGAAACCATGCCTGTAATCCCAGTGCTGGGGAAGCTGAGACAGAAGGATCACCATGAGTCTGAGCTGCATAGCGAGACCCTGTACCAAATAAGTAAGTCTTTAAAAAAAATATTGAAAGAAGAGGTAAAGTATTTTGATTCTTGGGATCACAACATGGCTAAGACAAAGATGAAGAACTGGAAACTTCCCACCGTGACTCCAGGTAGCACCAAGGTCCCTCGTGATCTCATTCCCACTCCACAAGACCTTCCTCAATGGAAACCTCTTGTCCCAAGCAAACTGGTTGGCTGATTAGAAGAAGTGAATTGCATGAATCTTCTAATTCGCCCTATTCCTCCTTAGTCTTGTTACTCATCTACTGTATTTCTTTTCCTTCTCTAAGTCATTTGAGACTGACAGATTTGCAGGCAGCATGTGTTAAGTGAAGAGGCCTGGAGAGGTTCCATCCAACTAATTGACCAATACACTCACAAACACAAGAGGGACACGGTGAGCAACACACAACATCTGCTGGAAACTAATGGTATACATCACCTAAACTGCAGCACAGGGCTAGCTCCAGTAAGCAACAAGCAGGTTCTTCAAGTCTGTCTCAGCTCTCCTTCCTCCACCTCAGCAACAGCTTTGCACCTCTTATTTAACACAACCTCTCCGATAGGATTGCTTCTGCATTTTCCTTTTGGACTTTGTGAAACAGAAGTTTAGAACCACAAGTTAGAAGCAAGGCCACATAACCAAAAACACAAAGAAATGTGAACTCTGAAAGGTTTGCATGAACTTCAAGGGCCTTAGGCCTCTTCAGCCTTAACAACAGCATTTCACTTGGCATATTTGCCCTTTTGATATAACTTCTGCGACTTCAGGGCTTACCAGCTGCCACCGAATGTCATGTCCTTACTCAGTTCAGTAACCCTCTCCTTGTAAGACATGAACGACTGAATTCACTCTTGTGCCATTTTTTTTGTGAATAAAATAATTTTGCACAACCTTTCACAAATGTCACTTTGATTTTACAAGTCAGAAAGAACACAATGTGTCAACCTGAAGCTCAAAGTTCTTTCACAGGCTGTTGTTACAGCTCTTGTGTATAAAGAGTAGTTTACAGTCTTGGGCTTACAGAATGCCAAGCTGGAATTAAGCTTCTTCATTTGTTCCTCATTCTGTGATATTCTGAGGCCCAGTACAGATACCTTCTGCTGCTTAGGCCTATCTTTATCCTACATACAACACTTCCTGCTGACATTTATGAAAGGTGTATATAAGTGTAAGCTTTTAAAATGTAGACATTTTTTACTTTCATACCACCTCTGGAGATAAATAAAAGATTTTCATCCTGTGCCTTCTGTCTCCTCCCCAGTACACCCTCACCCCGGCATTTTTCTTTTTTCTCTGCTTATTTGACTCATGGTATCAGGCTGTTCACTGTATATGGAAGCACTCGTGTCTGCACCCTTACTCTGTAAACCCAGTATGCTAAACTCTGGGTTTTCTTCTCTTTCATTTTATTTTGGCTGGCTCAGCCCTGCCCTGAGGGTGGAGTTGGCAGAGCACGTGGTGTTGGGGATCAAACTGCAGTCCCCTGCACCTGTCTAAGCCTGCCTGCAGAGGCACTGTAGACCGCTGAGCTACCTCATCGGTCCTAAACTCTGTGTTTTATAACACAATAATGGTATTTTCTTGCTAATTTCTAAGTTGTGAACTGATCATTCAATCTTGTGTTATTACTAATACCTGAATACCGTTGAAATGAAAAGAACTTTATAATAAAAGCAAGACTTGACCCTGGTGAAATATACACAGGGAAAAATGCACACAGGAAGCCCAATGAGATGAGAACATCTTCAGCCTTAAGAAGAACAGTTATAGCACCGCGACAACCAGGAAAGCCCGCTGTGGACACCGGAAGCCAGCAGTGCACTAGGGAACAAACACGAGCCTCAACAGAGGCCCCTTCCCAAGCCACAGCACAATGCTGAGGATCAGGCAGGTAGAATTCGAACAGCCAGTACGTTTAAGGCAAAGAAGTAGAAGATACTGAATGAAAAACCAGCTCATCCTCTTGATGAGTACAACTACAGTGAGAAAGACGGTAAAGATATGGCTTTACGGAAAGCATCTTAAGAGGTGTTTCTTGTTTTTCATTTATGTATTTGGTATAGAGCCTCACTATGCAGCTCACACTCATAGTGATCTTCCTGTTTTCAGCCTCCCCAGCGCTGGGGTTACAGGCACACACCACCATGCCTGGACTAGGTCAGACTCAGCGTAAGGGGAGGGCATGCGGGACCCGGGATCGAACCCTGGTTCCTGCGCTTGCCAAAACAGGCGCTTAGTCAGCTGAGCTATCTCACCAGCCCTTAAGAGGTTATTTTTGAGAGATTCTGAAGGCAAATATGCTATGTGGATAGGACGGTGTAGCAGCACAACCTATACTTCATCTTAATGATGAAGGCAAAGAAGTGGTAAGGTAGGTAAGGCATGCCAATGCAACCACAGCCCTAGAATAACAGGATCGCTTTCCTAGGAAGGAGGGAGCCCATGCCTACCCCACCAGCACATGAGAAAACATACTACCAACTGTAATACATAATCCTTGTGGGCGGCAATCCTGGAGTTAATTTATCATTGATACTTATTCTGGCACTTTATAGTGTGAAAAGGCCTCAACTCTGAAAATTCCTGCTGAGGACTGAGTTACCCTCTTATTTTAGCCACAATACTTACATTGATGTTTACTAGAATCCCTTTGTTTTTTTAACTTCAGGAAGAGGATGGCTGGCAAGCTAGAAATACTGAAACTTTCCACCAGGCAAACAAACTAACCCTACAGCATTACCTGAACGGGAACAGATCTAAAACTCCAAGATCACATCTCTATCTATTTGTGTATTTTTCTTTTTTGAGATGGGATTTGCAGTATATATCAGTCTGGCCTTGGAGTAGAGTCTTGTGATGTAGACCAGTTAGTCACTGCGTCGCCCAGGCTGGCTTCAAATCCTCGCTGCGCGCTGGAATTACATAGTCATGTGTCACCGTGCCCAGCTCTATTTGTGTCTTTAAGAAACCTTACTCTGAAACTCAAATACCTCCTGTTAAAAGACTCTGAAATAATGCAAAACCTGATGTTGTTTTTGGCTTATCCCCAATAACTGCTGAACAGAAGTAAAATGATTTATCATTATTGAGTTAATATGAATAGTGTCTAAAAATACAGACTTTAAGAGAAAAAGCTGGGCATAGTAACACATGCCTTTAATCCCAGCTCTTACGAGGCTGAGGCAGGAGAATCATCTGGAGTTACAGGGCTGTGTGGGCTACATAGTGAGTTCAAGGCCAGCCTGAACTACATACTGAGACCTTATCTCAAGAAAAAAAAAAAAAAAAAAAGACAAATAAATATATAAGAAAATAGAATAATAACCCAATTATTCCAGGCCTAATAAAGTAAAGCTCCATCCTTGAGATGCTAAATATATTTAGATGCTAAACTGAAATGTCTTTATGATAATGACTATTATATTTATTGCTATAAAAATTTTGATTATAAAAATATTATAAGAAAAATTATGAATTTTGATGACTTTATAAGTTAAAATTTATACTTTAGTGTTCAATTATTTTCAAGATATGGGTAACATTTCCTGAAAAGAAAACCCATCTCAAAAATAATATCTAATTTACATCAGGCATGGTGGTACACACCTATAATCCCAGCACTTGGGAGGCTGACACAACAGGATCACTATAAGTTCAAGGCCAGCCTGGGCAACAGCGGGAGTTCAAGGCCAGTCTGAACTACACAGAGAAATCCTGTCTCAGAAAAAAAAAGTCTTTTTTTTTTTAAATGTTGCTATAGAAGGGTGGGCATGGTGGTACACACCTGTAATCCTAGAGCTCCAGAGGCTGAGGCAGGGGGCTCATTGGGAATTTGAGACCAGCCTGGGCTACAAAGTGAGCTCAAGGACAGCCTGAACTGCATAGCCAGACCCTGTCTCAAAAAGACAAAAAAAAAAAAAAGTTGCTGTGTAACCCCATGCCAGGCAAAAAGAGTATATATATAAATTTTTCATTTATTTTACCTTCTTTATTTTGAGGTGGAAGTCTTGCTGGGTTGCCAAGGCTGGCCTTCAAGCTCTGGCCTCAATCCCTCCGCCTCATCCTCTCGCGTAGCTGGGACTAACGGTGCACACCACTGCATCCCACCTTGAGTTCCACGAAGTACATAGCTCTTATTATTTTCTCTATTTTACAAACAAGGCAACTGAGGCTTAGAGAGGCTGGGGAAGTTCCCAGGTATGATGCAGAATCACAACCACTCCTCCTCCCCTCACCCGCCGATCTGCATCACCCCATCCACAAACTGCACACCTGGTTCCATACATGTATTTACAAAGAGTGATTCTCTGGGTGGTTGGGGGGGGTGTTAAGCCAAGAGAAAAATTTAACAGCAAACTGATTCTCTTATGTTAATAACCTACCAAAGCTCTCTTTTGACTGCTTTCAAGGCATTAGCTGAACTATTTTCGGGATTTAAAAAAAAAAAAAAAAAAAATCAAAGTCCCTGCCTTGGTAACGAGTCTTTCATCTGTGGTTCTAGAAAGTATTCAGAGGATATTCATATTGCTCTTTCCCAGGTTACAGAGTTAGTTAGCTTTCTCTACAACTCCTAAACCTACAATTAGTTTATCTCCACTTTTCCTCATTTGTATTGAAAACAAAGTAAAAATCATAAACACAAAATAAAATTGTTTTCATTTGGCATAATTTTAATGGTCTCCAGGACTGTGTCCAATTTGTAACTAACAAACTGAAGCAACTGGACAGTAAGCATGCATTTCAGGAATAAAGAAATAAGCACTAATATTCAAGAATTTCTGTATTATGGGGAGCCTACAATTTCTTTGCTGTTATTATCAAAAATATCAATCTTTCTATTCAAGCACTGGAAGATTACAAAAATTTATGCAAAAAAAATGTTTAGACAAGCCTGCAATTAAAATGTACATGGATATGATTATATTCTTTCCTTTCTCCATGCAATTGAGAGAGTAAGTGATCATAAGAATAATGACTCATAATTTCAGGTTTATGTTTCTGATTAATTTATGACATTTCTTGGAGGGAATTCAAAGAGTAGGCGAGAAAGCCTTTCGAAGGTTCTTAAGCATCAGACTACTGTAAGGAACAGAGAGAGGTGAGATGTCTTTAGCAAATGATACGAGCGAATAAACAATACTAAATGAAGTTTAGAGAAAACGATTCTTCCAGTCTAAGAAATGCAATCCGTGCGCTGGGAAAGACACCAAATTTCCCAACTCCACCCTGCTCGGGGCGATCGTTCAGTGCAGCCGTCCAGCAAATGCCTTTTCCCAGATATCCAGAGGAACCCCGAGAAGATCCCCTGAACTCTGGGCTTCTCGTTTCTTTTTACTCTGGCCTAACCTTTCAGCCTGCTGCCCTTCCTTCCAACCCCCTGGGAAGCGGGATACTGCACCTGGACCAC